GGGGGCCGGGCGAGGTCGGTGTCTCCTCATCGTCCTTCCCGCCTCGGGAGGGGAATGGGGCGTTCCGAGGGGGTTCCTCCCTCCCGGTTGTTCCCGTTTTGAGGTGGGTGGGTAACGCTGGGGTGGGTTTTGCGTTGTCTGACACCGGCTGCCTCCTGGAGCGGTGCTGGTGACACATCATGTGCCAGGCAGAATCCAGGTGGTTGAAGGATGCCCCTGGCAGATCTCCATAGGCACCGAAGGCCTCAAACTTTTGTAGGCGTGAAAAGCGAAGACGTTAGAATTGTTTCTGAAAACTCCTTCAAAGAAACTTGGTTCCAGCTTCCAAACGGCTGAAAAAAACCCAAAACCCCCCAAAAAACCAACTATCTGTGCTCGTACCTGGCCGGTGAGGACAGCAGGGCAGGAACCTTCCCCTGCCGCCCCCTTTGGAGTTGGTGACTATGATCTATTAGGAATGGAAAGTCACGAAAGAGACTCGGCGATTGTTTGTTTTTATGTGGTGGCCTCAAGTCCCAGAGGATGACCTAGCACTTAAGAATCGAGCTGGGCCAAGTTAAAGGCCAAGTTGACTTTGAAAGAACCCCAGTAGTGGGACCAGGTCGGAAGCAAAGCAAGTCCCAAACTGAGCGTTTCTGGTCAAAGATTCTATTCTTTTTTAAAAGACACTGTGTTACTGGAGCCAGGCCTGGATCTTTTAGCATCCAATTGAGCTGCAAGTAGCTCATAGATTGGTTTTGGTTTTGTTTTTTGTTGGTTTTTTTTGGTTTTTTATTCATGTTTGTACAATCTTCTGGATTTTTTTTTTCAAGAAGGAGTAAAAGGGAGTGTTGGAAACTAACAAACAGGATTAAAACCCTGAGCGCTTAAAGGAGAGCAGGTTAAGGAACTTAATCCAGGATGGATCCGCAGGAGCCGCAGCAGCTGGGGATGTTTGCAGAGGGCGAGCTGATGTCGGTGGGGATGGACACCTTCATCCATCGCATTGACTCCACCGAGGTCATCTACCAGCCACGGCGGAAAAGGGCCAAGCTCATTGGCAAATACCTGATGGGAGACTTACTTGGAGAAGGGTCTTATGGCAAAGTCAAGGAGATGTTGGACTCTGAAACCCTCTGTAGGAGAGCTGTGAAAATACTGAAGAAGAAGAAGCTCCGCAGAATTCCCAACGGGGAGGCGAACGTGAAAAAGTGAGTAAACGTTTCTGGTAGCTGGGAACCCTGGGGTTAAACTTGGTAATTGTTTTCCAGCTGAAATTCTGTATCATTTTAACTACCAACGTGGCTTTTCTGCTCTGGAAGTGCTTCCCAAACCGTAGGTATCCTGGAATCTTCACCATGGAGCTGCCCTCGTTGGGGCTGGGCAGAGGGAAGGGAGGCAGGTCTGTGTGAACAGCCAGCCCCTAACACACCTCACTTTTTTAATACTATTGCTTAAATAATAAAATAGTATTTCTTAAATAAATTCCTCTTTAAGATCTCACCTTGCAGAGGTAATCTGCTGCTGTGGGCTGGCAAAGGTGAGAGGTGGTGCAGCTGGGAGGGCAGAGCACACTGTGTCGTTGCAGTCGGTGTGACTCGTGCTCCTGTAGAGCTGTGTGGCTCTTCAGCTCTCTGCGATGACAATTTCTGCTCCCACCTGTGTGGTCAGTACCTGGAACGTGATCCAAGGTATCGTGCACCCAACAGGCCTAGGAAGTCTGGGGTGCTTTTCCTTGGTTTAGTTTCTGTCTAATAACTTTGCAAAGTAATTCGAGGGTCTTTTCAGCTGATTTCTGCAGCTGTAAAATGGGGACAAGGGTTGTCAACCTTTTCTGTTTCAGTGACTCCAGATCAGTGCTTGGAAGCTTTCGAAGGGCCAGTTACATACTGATTAGTCAGGGCACAAGTAACTAATTAAAATTAGCTGTGGGAGCAGCCTGGTGTGACGCTTCCTCTGGAGGGCTGGCAGCAGGAAACTTTCCCTTTGCTGGGGGCTGTGCTGCCCAGGGCCTGGCAGTGTCCCAGCCCTGCCAGATAGTTGTTTATCTGCGGTGAAGCGGAGCCTTCTGCAGCCAAAACAAACTCTTTGCAGGAGTTTATCTCGTGGAGGGAAGGAAAACTTGTGAGGTGTTTAGAAAACTCTTGTGTTGCGTCTTTAGCTGCGGCGTGCTGAGTGCAGAGTCCTGACCTAGCAGGGTCTTGTTTCTGTTTCTCTTGTTTGGTTTGAGTTTCCGAGCTCAGCTGTGAGATATTTCACATCCTGTCCTGGGACTCCTGTCAGTGAGCTGGTTAAGTTTGCCTCCTAACCTTCAGTGACAGACTCAGCCACGGAACAGTCACGGATCCTGGAGCTGGGACCTCTCCTTCTCTCCTTTGCTGGCTCCAGTTCAGAATCAGAGTAAACTGTTGGTTAATATGTAATAAAATGTTTCTTGTTTTTCCGGTAAAGGCATGAGTGCCCCTTTCCACCCTTGCCCCCTCCTTCAGTCACATCAAGAGCTTCTGCTGAAGAAGGGGAACGTTATTTCCTCCTTGGTGAAACTTTTCAATTTAAATTTTTCTCCCCTGTAGTGAAAAAGGATTTGCCAGACGCTGGGAGAGTTTCCTGGTATCAGAACCGTGGTAATAATGGTCCTGTGTCCTGAAGTGAACTCTGTGAGGTTTGATTCATGCTCAGAGCCTGTCTGAATGTCTCGTTTGGCTTCGTTAAGGTTGGTTATTAAAGCAGAGCAGCCAGGCACCGCTCTGGTTCGCTGTGGATGTTTTTCTGGCTCAGCCGCACCTGCTTCGAAACACCGAGGCAGATTTTAATGTCTTGTAACGAGGGTTTACTTTAGTTCAAGCTCCTATTTTTGTCATCTTGTCCTTTTTCTCTTTGTCCCCCTATTCGTTTGCTTTATCTACTTCTTCAGTGGTGATTTTTTTTTTTTTTTATTTTTAAGGCCAAAAAGTCCTATTTCTGTGGTACCCCTGGAAATCTGACCTCATCCAAACCTTCAGCGCCGCTGCCACAGGCAGCGAAAGCATCTCTGGTCTGAATAAACCTGTTGTGGTGAGATTCATCATCAGACCTGTGCAGCTGGGTGTGTGGATGGGGGGAGCAAACCCGTCCTGGATTTCCAGGTAGCACCACAGAGAGCTCTGCTAACGTTGGGGGGTTTTAAAGTCACGTTTCTTGGCCAGACTCCACTAAAATTTCACTTTCTACAACTGCCTTTGGGCAGCTTTGAGTGGTTTATACCCAGCAAACGACTCACTTGTAATAGAACAGCAGAAAATCAGATTTTGGATTGAATCACACCAACAGGTTCTACTTTCTTTTTTGAAAGCTCCCAAGAAGTGCAGTAATGAGTAAATATGTAATTCCTAGGAGTGTTTCAGTGCAGCCTGCTTCCCATCCCGCTTGTGTCTTTATCTGTCCAGGGATGTCTGCAGCTCAGGACGTGTGAGAGACGATTGTGATTAGTTGTCTAATCTCTGTAAACATCCCAACTTCAGTTGGTGCCCTTTGAGATTAAAAATCTCTTCATCTACCCCCAGAACGAGCCCACTGCTTGGTGTTCCCTCTCCCTGCTGCTGCCCCCAGAGCAGGCAGAAGGCTCTTCCAAAGCATTTGTGTTCATGGTCAATGAAATGCTCAGGAGTGAGAGTCCTCTGAGTCCCTGATGAGTTTTTTTCTCTGCTGTGGAATGACTGTGTAATGTCTTAACTGTTAGTCCTCTCTCTGGGGGTTAATTTCTTCACACAGTGCTGCGAGCGTGTTCGAAGTGCCCTGCCAGAGGGTCTGAGTAATTGGGGCGTGTGTTCAGGTTTGGTTTAAAAGTGTTTATCTCTTGGAAGTGACCATTTGCTGTTTCAGTCTCAAAGTACCTTGTTGCACAGTTTTCTCTTAACAGCAAAGACAGGGCCTGTCCCTGCTGAAGTGTCCTCCAGCGTTCCTTACCCAACAGGACCGAGCTGGGTATGTGACGCGGTTCGTTTGGCAGAGAGGTAATTGAATTATTACAACAACTTGTGCCTCTGCCGTTGTCACGAGGTGCCTCAGTGCTGCTGAAGATGAAACTTGCACTGATAATGTGTCATCAGAGAGATTCCCTAGAAAACAGTTCCTAGACTGTGGGTAATTACATGAGCAGGTCGCATCCAGGGAGTGACGACAGCAAGGGGGAGCGCGGTGCCCTGCGTGGGACCCTGGGTCCGTGGGGCTGGAGTTACAACTCGGGGGGCTCTGACTGTTCATGTCATTTCTGTGTCACCCCTTCCTCGTGCTGGGGACCACGGCCTCGTCCTGCGTGTGCTGCCTGCCCCCAGCAGAGTTCTGGGGACACGGGTATTACGACTGAAACATGTTTGAGACTTGTTATATAAAATGAAATGATTCTTCTCTACACCAAAATACTCCAGTTCTGCCCCTGGAAAATGATCCCTGAAGGGATCTGTGAATCCTGGTGAGGACGTTGAGGGTTTAGACTCATAAGACACATTTCCCTAAATCAGTGTCAGGAATCTCCATTCCTCTTCAGAGAGAGGTTGGGGTGATGTAGTCAACCAGACAGTGCTGTGGCTAATTACTGCTTCCAGTTACTACAAAAAATGAGTGGAGTAGGATTGCCAAAAAGATGAAAGCAAACGTGGAAGATGATTTGTCTCTAGCAGCACAAGTTTTATTAAAGTGTGTGCTAATAGCCTCGCATTTTAATTGAGTCTTTGGGACTTTCTGTGCATATCCCAAGTGTCTTGTACGGTACTTACCACGCTCAGTGATTACTTAGATTTGAATATATGCTCATTAGACTTCCTTGGAGGTTTAAAATGTGTGTAGGCCTGTACTTGGACAGTTTCCCCTTTGGGTTTACGAATGAAGAACCTCACACCTCAAAACATGGACACTTGGTTGAAGGAAGGACGTGCTGCGAGCGCGGAGGCGTGTGCTTTAGAGGGAGATGGGCTGAAGCTGACTCATCTGGTTTCCTGTCCCTCCTCACCCAAGTCTGCCCTGTGGAACCGGGTGGCTCTGCTACTTTCTTTGCTAAGCTGGTTATTTGCTTGGGTTCAGTGGTGAAACATTTGAAGCTGTAATCCTCAGGAGAGCGCAGGCAGCTGTGCTGTGCTGGATTTAGGGCTTGTGATGTCAGATACCCCTGCTGGGAGCGTGGTGTGGATGGGGGCCTGGAGCTAGTGAGGAGAAAGGGGAACACTGCGACCTCCCCTCCCTCACCAGCCCCTCGGGCTCACAAACAGGCTCTGGAGCAGGCGCCTGCCTGTTGCTGTCGGCTTCTGCAAGGTGAGAGCTCGCAGGGTTCTGATCTCCACTCTGTTCTGCATCTGCAGCGTTTAATATCTCAGGGGCTTCTGGGTGCAGGGACAGAAAGCAGCGTGGTGACCACAGGGATGTTTCTGTATCTGGATGTGTTGTGACCCAAGGGGAGGGAGAGGCAGTGGGAAGGTGGTGGAGGTGCTGTCATGCTCACAGTGTTATCGTGGGTAATGGCTGAACAAGAACTGCTTTTTTGGGATACCAAATCTTTGGAGGTGTAGATCAGCCCTGGATTCACCGACACAGAGTGATGTCAGCCCCTCCCCGTGTCAGATGTGTGGTCAGATGTGCAGAGCTTGGTTTGAAGAAGGAAACAGTGAAGTTCTCTGCTCAGTCTCTCATCTGAAATATCACTGATGCTTGTGAGAGCGAAGAGACGCAGCTTCTCACGTGGATTAAGATGCCAGGTTGTGTCCTGGCAAGTGCAGGGCTGTTCTTTAGGTGAAATAAACAGGAAAAGCCCTTCACAACCTAGACCTTAAATAAGTTAACCTGCTTTGTAGCACGTTGGGGATACTAACTTCTAGTTAAAATTTGCTTTGGCTATACAGGGTTACACAATAGATGTAGATAAATGCAGAATGTAGTTGTTCAGTTGCATAAAGACCAAGTGGATGATTGTTGAGTCCTCTGGAGCAGTTTGCAGGGTTGGTGTTAGTGGATTTCTGGTCGGTGCCAGAAGTGGCATATGGAGCTGTTCTCTGTGCACGTCCCCTGGCCCTTGGCTGTGGCACCGGCTCTGTGGTGGAGCTGTGCCAGTTCCTGTGCTGGTTCCTCAGTGCCATGTGCTGTCTGTCGAGAGCTTGAGATGGGCCATGGTCACACTGAGGAGGGGGTGAGGGGAAGCTGCTCCCAGGCTGAGCGCTGCAAACCTGCTGCAAACCCTCACTTCTGAGATATCTGGTAGTTAACAGGGGACAGATTCACCCTCCTGTCTCCAGTAAAATCCAAAAAGCTGTGGTGGAACCTTATCAACCAAAGGAAGGGAATGAATCTTTTTGGCTGTATTACTCATTTTTATTTAAGTGAGAATGGCTTTGATGAAACTGAGGCTCAAAACAAAGTGTAGGAAGAATATTAAATGCTAAATCTCCTAGTGAAGATGTGCTCCAGGGAAGAATGTCTTCTTTCCAGGCCGTCCTTGGCATCTTCCAGAATCGTGTAGCACATGGTACGAGTAGGCAGCTTTGCTATATACAGTTCTGAGCAACAACAACAACAACACCACCCTGTTGTTTGCCAAAGCAAAGTACCTCGCTCGGGATGAGTCTCACTCTGTCAGGTTGAGCTTCGTGGGTCTGACAGAACCACAGAGAAACCTCCCGGCTAGAAGATCTTTTATTTGCTCTTCTTCTTCTAAGATGCTTATACTTTGAAATAGGCCCCAAACTCTGAGAGTCTCACTTGTCTTGAAGGGTTTCTAGTCTGGAAAATGAGGAACAGGATTTCATAATGCAGGTTATTCTGGCCACATAACAGCGGTGTGGAGTAGGATGGCTGTGGAAGCGATGACCACGGTGCTGAGAGCACAGCCGAGCCCCCTCGCTGCGGTTCTCTCTCCCTCCGTGTTGGGGAGAGGTCTGATCTCAACAGCAGCTGCAGTGATTTAAATTTCACGTTAAATTTTAGAGATAGCAAGGAAAGGAGGCAAAGTTGGGGCAGCTCAGGAGGTGTCCTGCAAATGTGAGCAGATTCACTGGTACGGGGAAGGCAGGAAGGCACCTCGCCTTGGCAGCAAACCGTGGGCATGAAAAGCTCCATCCCAGCACTGTCAACTGAAATGGTGTTGTGCAGGCAAATTGCAAAGAAAGCAGTGGGCTGGAGTGGCTTTTTTGTTGTTAATCTTTTTTTTAAAAAAAAAAAAAGTAAATTTAGGCACCTTCTGATGAGGTGAGCAGCTATGTTCACTTCCTCAGTGAAGTTTGAAGGCTGAAATGGATTCGGAGGTGCCTGTGGTCTGGCTGCCTCTGTTCCTCGGTCCTGCTAGAATGCAAGAGTGGCTAAAAATAGAAGGAATCTTTCCTCTGGGAAATGGGCTGCTTGGCCTCTGCCCCAGAGGTGGGTGCACTTCACTGGCATTTTGGATTGGTTCACAGAGTCCTCCTGGAAAAAAAAAATCATTACAGAAATATGAAATATTTATTAGTCCGTTAAGGGTGGAAGGAATTTGCGCTTTCAAGCTGTATGACAGGGAATGAGCTGTTGGAATCAGGACTTTCAATGTGTTCCTAATATTGGAAGCTTGCTTTGCCTTCACAGCAAAGTAGTCTTATTTAAATAGTAAGTGTGTGTTCAGTCCCTCTCTTGCCAGCTTGGTCTGAGCACTCAGCCCGTCTCCCTTCATTAGGCAGGAACTCCTCAGACCACACTAATGCTGGCTGCAGTTTCTATGCTAATTTAATCCACTTCAGCCTTTTGGTCACTACTATAATTAGAGTGGCTGCATCACTTTGCAAATCTGTCTGCCATTTCAACTAAACACTCTTCTGAGCTTTGCCTTGTTATTCCAGGTTTCTGTTTAAGTATCTTGATTTATTTTTGTTTTAAGTCATGTATGATAAAGGAAGAGTGCCTGGGCTAAACTTTGGTAGTGAAATAATTAATACTGCTGCTCAGAAATCCTTAAAAGATCTTTAAAAAACTCCAAACAAACCCTGCTTGCATTC